TTGTGCTTCTTTAACAGTTCCATCCACCGGGAGCGACGAAAGTGAGTCCTGAAGTGCAAAAATGACAATCATAAACAAGGGTGCACGTAAAAACGGCGCGTTTCACGTGTCCAAAACACTGCAGCGGTTTCCACCTTCCCAAAGCTTGCTTTGTTGTTTGTTTGTTTGTTTTTACCACATAAATAGAGCTTAAAACAAAAAACAAACAACAACAAAGTGTTCTCTTGCTTGTGAAGCAACATTTGAGCACAGAAGTGTTAACGTTTCAACATCGGGTACAGCGAAAAGGGGGCTCAGCGCTCGAGACCGGACCCCGCTTCTGCTGCGTAAACGTTTAATTTCGTTAAAAAAGTAAACACGTCTGTTTATATTTTGTGCATAAAGTGTACGAAGTCGCTCAGATCAGGGTTGGGAGGATAAAACGCGTCCCTGGAGGAGAGCAAAATAAAGTTTAAGAGCGCGCCGGGGGCTGCGAGAGCCACGCGAGTTTGGAGCAGCCCTCATTGAGAGGCCACGTGTCCGTTTCCAAAGCCTCTCCAACTTAACCACCTCCATTGTGCGCCTCAGCCACATCGGCAGCGTCCCTCCACATAAAGGGATTTGCAATTTCAAGATATTCCAGCTTAAATGTTTTTGACAGTTCCCTCGCTTTGGCCTCGGCCTGCTCATTTTAACTGTGCCAAATGGGTCACCTTGGGTAGCTGTCTGCGCGCGCAAAGGGGCTTTTGCGCGCATTCAGCCCGGCTCTTTTTTTTTTTCTTCCTCCCCAACTTACTTTCCTTGACGGGGAAACCAGCTGCTGGTCGTGAAAAGACGGCTTATTAATTGTCCTTTGTCATGCAGAATTGCTTGATTTCTAAAGAAACGTACAAAGGCTCCTTCTTTTTTCTCCAGGATTCGAGTATTTTGTTTCGTGCGCGCTTTCCAAGCCCCATCGACTCAGCTGCAGCGCCGCCGCACCGTCTACCAGACTCAGGTACCGGGCAGGCCCCTGCCCCTTTTGTCCTCTTTGAAATGCTCTTGTAAAATCGGGCAGACTGATTTGTTACGAGCTGCTCTTTTAATCTGATAGATAAGAGACAAGTCTGAGAAAAGGCCGTCAATGAAAAATTAGTCGAGGGCCAGGCTGCTGCGGGATGGCTGGGGGCCTGTTGACTCAAGCGCTCCGCTCTCAGGGTCACGTCAACAATTCGCCTTTCTTCTCGCCAGAAAGACACTGTAGCCCCCTTTTCTGGCTTCAATGAATTGATCGGCACAAAATTAAGAATAAATAAATTGAGCATTGGCCCGGGCGGGGTGGAGGGGGGGCTTCTAAAGCTCCCCCAGGGCGCGTAGCACAGCCTCGAGCGTGGCTGAATGGAGCAAAAAGGACGCAAAAAAAAAAGAAAAAAAAAGAAGAAGAAAAAAGTAGAAGAAAAAGAAGAAAAAAAGAGAGCTGGGAGACTCTATAGCGCAATTAACAAAATGCTCTAATCCCATATCTTAACAAATGCAAATATTGGCAGTTTTGTTAAAATGTTTAAGTGAAGAATTGAAGAGAGAGTTTACAAGAGCAGCCCCCAGCATCCCCTAAGGGGCACAATGGCCGGAATAATTTAGTAAATGTGCAGCGAGCTCACTGGAGCCTTTGTGCGGGACGCTGGAAGAAACTAAATACCATTTAAGTCCGTTTTTAATGGGTTAAATGAAGTTTTAGTGCCGCGCGAGGAAAGCAGGACGCGCCGCGGACGCACCGGCCAGCGCGCAAAGATGTGGAGCAAAAAGCACGTTGCAGCAAAATGCATTATTCCTGCAATAAAATATATGTGGATACATACATATTGGGCTTTAATCGAGTCATGATTCCTAAAAACTCACCATCTCCAGCTCCAGCGTTGGACGCACTGAGCGTCCTTTATTATTGTTATTATTATTATTACTATTGCGCTGACATTTGCATTACCTTTATACATTTCTCCACCATTTATACTCCTTTTCTTTTACAGATGAGCACCCAACACATCACATGAAGACCCTTTTTAATAAACGAGGTAAATTAAGGGGGAAAAAAGACGCGCGCGTGCAAAGAAGAAGGCTCGCCAAGTGCGCGCTCGCTTCAATCCCTTTAAATAAATTTAAATATCAACATCGCTTCATCTGGCCCCATTGACTCCCATATTTTATTCATTTGCTTATTATCGTGTCCACGCATGAATATCCTCGCTGGGACTCTTTCTTTCTCTCCTTCTTTCTTTCTTTCTCTCTCTTTTTTTATGAACTCGCAGCGCGCTCTGAGCCGCGTCCCCGGGGAAAAGCCACGGAGGAGCCGATTAACGCGCTTCTTCTCCTCGCGCGCTTCGCGAGGCAGATTATCTGTCCTGTTGCTGCGCGCTCAGCACAGACCGCAGACCCCAGTGACAGTGGATGGTCACAAACCGAGCATTTACAGACGAATTACACACGTTACATAAAGGCCAGTGTGGACACCGAGCGCGACCGCTGCTCCTGTTTAAGCCCCCTGTCACAGTCAGAGCCCTCCTGCTCCCCGCGCACCTGCCTCGCTCCGCTCATCAGCTCATCACGCCCTTCAGCAGGTTGAAAAGGTGGCAGAAAAGCAGTAAACGTGTGTAGAGTGGGAGAAAGGAGTGGTAAGACTGAAATAACGATCACCCACTCTTCACATCTCCGCATCTTGGAAGCTCTTTTGCACAAAATGATCAACGAGATGCAAAATATCAGCACTTTTATTAAACTGCAGGTGTGCAGTGGTGAAGTCACTCCAACAGTTTTTCAAAAATGTGCATAATTAAGGGGTTAAGATGTAAACAAAGTCATTCAGAGTGGTTTGGTGTGAAATGCTCTGTTCTAGAGAAACTTACAGAGTCAGGACTGTTCACAGTGGTGGTGATAGGAACCAGACGTCCACCTCTAAAAGCAAACAGATTGTATATATATATATATATATATATATATATATATATATATATATATATATATATATATACACACACATATATATATATATATATATATATATATATATATATATATATATATATATATATATATATACCACACCATATTTACATATAAAAACTCGTATACGTTCACTGGTGGTTATGATAGTAAATAAAATTTATGGTGGACGGATACATAACATGTAGGACGTTGTGAGGCAAACATTCCATTTAAAACTCAGAAGGCCATGTAGGTTCACTTGTGGTTTTGATAGCAAATAAAATATCTATATTTGTGTTGTAGTCATGGTGACCCCTGGTTCCTATCAGCACCACTGTGAAGAAATCTGAACCATTTCATACCAAACCACCACTACCAAAGTTTTCCCGTGCTAAAATTATGCTTAAATAAAATGTGTGGAATTCCCCTTTAATTCAGCTTGTAGACACGCGCACACTGCACTATTAAAAACTGATATAGGCCTTTTCTGTTCTTTGGTCCACAGTGTAGGTCAGATCCCATTAATATCTGTGTGTCTCACTTACTGCTGGAGCTTTACGTGCAACTGACTTTCTCATTCATTCTCTGTGAACGCGTAGCGCGCGCTGAGCTGCGTAGCCCAAAGAAGCCAAATTATAAAACCCATTTCTGCTGTTTGAATTCGTTTTTTGGCACCAAACACTGTACACGATGTAGTTATGCTGTAAATACGTAAACAATTCAGCCAACAGGGCAGATCTGCCGCGCGCAACGGCGCGATCTGCTCTTTTTAAAAGCCTGGAGAACGTTTAGAGGAACAGGAGGAGCACCTGCTGCATGGTCAGCAGTTTTAATGTGTGAAAACACTGGATGACCACAAGATATGGAAAAAAAAGAATTACATTTACAAGACATGCTGCTCTGCCCGCTGCGTAAAGGCAGTTATGGATATAGAAAATTGTTTGGAGCAGCTTAACTCAGTTTTATGCGCAACCGAAGCGCAATGCAAGACACAAGGCGCAGTTTCACTAAGAAATAGTCTTTATTTCCAGTAATAAGTTTTTTTTAAATAAATAAATATTCTCATTACATTGAGCATACAATAACAGGCTTCTGTCGTGGAAGTGATATCTGGAGAGCAAGCGTTCATCACGAACACAGCTCCTCCATTTCAGTCCGTTCCGTTTCCCAAACAGCAACAACAGCAACAACAACAATATCAACATTAACATCATCAACATCATCAACACCCATCCAGACTGAGATGCACTTACAAAACAGTCAGCACAGGATAGTTTATATTTTTCTGTTTGGAATGTTTGCAATATTTGCATATGCAAATATCACCAAACTCGTTTTGGTGACGTTGGAAGGTGTTTGGAGACGGAACCGTAATCTGTTCTCAGAAAGAAAAAAAAACTAACATCGTACAACATGTATACAATTATACAACAGTTTTTAATATAAAACCTCTATTCTCTCTCTCTCTCTCTCTCTCTCTCTCTCTCTCTCTCTTCACATATATATATATATTTACAGGTGAGACGGCGCGCGCGCAGGTGTGTTCCATAAAACAGGTAACTTAAGCCAAAAGTCAAGACACTTCAGACTTAAGTTGCATGGCACACACCTAAAAAGAAGGTTCTCCAAGGGTTCTTTGGCAAAAGCAATGGTTCTATATAGCACCATGAGGTCTGCGTGCGTGATTATTTGCATGGTGATATGTTTCCTCAGATTGATGGAGAATGTGTTGTGTATGGAACCAAAAAGGGTTCTGCTGTTGTAAACAAGCTATCGTAAAAGCAGCAGAACGTTTTTTTGGTTCTAAACAGAACCATATACAAAACAATGCTTATATATGAAAATGGTTTAGTAAAGCACCAAACAGGGTTCTGCTTCTATATACAAGCTTTTTTGGTGCAATATAGAACCAAACACATTCTCCTTCAATCTGAAGAACCGTTTCACCATGTAAAGAACTATTTACGCATGCAGGGGTTCTTTACAGAACTCATGGGTCTGAGTTGAGCTATTACCTTTGCTTAAGAACCCTTGGAGAACCATCTTTTTTGGGTGTGTAGCCACCGGCTGTTTGTTTGTTTGTTTGTTTTGTTTTGTTTTGGCTGCTCTGTAAAGTCTCTGCGTGCGTCGAGACGCGTTTCACGGACTGACGGACAGATCTGCGTCCTCTTTCCCCGAGGATGAAGGTGACCCCGGCGCGTCCTCCTCTTCCTCGGAGCAGCGCGCGGACGACAGGGACGACGAGCACGTGCAGGCGCGCTGCTGCTGCTGGTGCTGGTGCTGGGCGCCCGCGCGGTGCGCGCCCCCGCCCTTACCCTCCTTCTTGTGCTTGACGCGGCGGTTCTGGAACCAGATCTTCACCTGCTTCTCGGACAGGTTCAGGTAGGTGGCGATCTCGATGCGCCGCAGCCTCGACAGGTACATGTTGGAGGTGAACTCGCGCTCCAGCTCCAGCAGCTGCGTGCTCGTGAACGCCGTGCGCATGCGCTTGCTGCTCTGCAATTGGCTGCTGCTGTTGTCTGGAAAACAAAACAGAATAAGAAAACAAATCCATCAGTTGGGAACGTTAGCTGTTAATGGGCGCGCGCAAAAGTGCGTTGGACCAATTGAGTTTTGGTGACTGTGGTCAGAGTTAAAAGCTTAATAAGTGACCTCTGGGCTGTTTATTTGGTCCAGCACCTTTGATTGCGCAATGTGCGCCGGATCATCATAACTAACAAACTGGTAGCTGCTTTTAGGTCCAATTACGCACGAGCTTTACAGGTGTTTGCGCTCTCATAACTTCTCTAAAGTTCTAGCTTCTCTAAAGTTCTAGATCTGGACCATCCTAATCTGGCTTCAGAGCATTGAATCTAATAGGACAGTGTCCACTTACCGATGGATATGCAGTGGAACTGGCGCGGGTCCGGCAGCGGGTAGGAGGTCTGGTACAAGCCCGGTCCGTGTCCCAGGCTGACGCCGGCCGAGGGCGCGTGCTGGCGGGACAGCGCGAGCGCGGCAGAGTGGCAGTACTGCGAGCCCAGGGCGGCCGGGAGCGCCCCCTTCAGGAGAGGCAGGGCCGCGGGGGGCGACGGGTGCAGCTGAGGCGCCGGAGCCGCCGTCACGCAGAGCGGGCAGAAGCACAGCAAGCCCCCCTGAGCCTTCCGCGCGTGGCACGAGCCCGCCGCCGCCGCCGAGAGGCCGTGAAGCGGATGAGCGGGATGGTGGACGGAGTAGGAGGGGAAGAGCGGCGGGCTGTTCGCGCGACCCTTCTCTCCTCCGCCGCCGGCCTCTCTCAGAATCAACGAGTCCACGAGAAACGACCTCGGCAT